CCCCCGGCCTTGCCTCGCTCCCCACCTCCCGGGATAGTCCTCTTTCCATCGTCCCTGGGTGCATCATGTCACGGAGGCTCCGCCGCGCGGCAGCCCCCCAACGGGCTCCGCAAATCCTACCAGATTCCGACTCGGATTTGGCCCTGAGTTCCAGCAGCGAGGACTCCGATGCCGGGGGCTATTCCAGCGACTCGGACGGCCGATCGTCCGACAGTGAGGCCGAGAACCGGCGCCGGACTGGCACGCGGTCTGGCGCCGGTGCGCGCCCCGGGCGCGCCGCGACGCGATCTTCCACTCCAGCCACCACGCGCGCCCGACGTGGGGCCCCGGCTGCGCCGGCTGTGGAGCTCCCGCGAATCCGCCTGTCCGGGCGCACGGTGTCCACACTGCCCCAGGGGTCCGGGTCCCCTGGCGGCCCGGCGGTTGTGGTGGCCGCCGGCTCGACACCCCGGAGCCTTCGTCTGCGGGTATCGACCTCGTCGCAGCGCTCGGACCCGACCATTGTCGAGCTGCTTAATCGTACGCCGAGGTCCAGCGACTCCCTGTCCCCCTCGGTGGCCTCGGACAGCCTGCTGTCGACCGACCCCTCGGCATCGAGCCCGGATTTGCTCGTGGCCGAATCCGCGGCGAGTGTGGTAGCGGCGGCGGCGGCGGCTTCCGGGCGCCCGGGCTCGACCGTCGGCGGGGCTCTCAGCCCCGAGCTGCTGGTATGGTGTCTGCCGGAGGAGGTTCCCTTCAAGGCGGCTGGTCGGCGGAGTTTGCAGGAGCGCCTGCGCACTGCGGCCGAGGCAGGCAAATCCCGCCGCGGCAGGGGTGCCTCGGCTGCTGGCGGCTCTGGCAGCTCGGCCGGCCCGACCCACCTGTCTGGTCGTCGTCTGCAAGGGGGGGGAAGGGAAGGAAGAGGGGGGGGGGGGGGGGGGATTGGCCGGACCACATACGCGCGCGCGCGCGCGTGTGTGTGTGTGTGTGTGTGTGTGCGTGTGTGTGTGTGTGTGTGCGTGTGTGTGTGGCGCGCGTTCCCTGTCGCGCGGCTATGCACCCCGCCT